TTCTACGTTTAGAAGATGGTCCCGACACTATAGATACACTGAACAAAAGGTAAATTGATCTATAGGTAAAACTTCATAATATCTATCCAATATCCGTTATTAAAAATAAAATCTTTCGCCCGTCATTTTTACACGAATTTTTACATTCCGTTCTTATTTTTGAAAAAAGTGGCAAAGTTGACTGTAGCTTCGTACAATTCGATACCAGTTTCTGAAACTTCGCATGGAATTGTTTTTCATTAAATATAAGCGATATACCATTTCTAGTTTAATAAGAATACCGTATTTGACAACATAAAAAGGCACACGGGCATATAAAATTCCTATCTATTTAAACAGGGCATATTTAGGAAAAATATTCTTTCTTTTTAATTAGCTGCCATTTTTTGGCAATATGTTTTTGTAGGCATTGATAAACCCTGCCACTTCATCAGCCAGTCGAACGAAATGCAAAGCTGTGAATCTTTCATTCATCTTTTAATCATCTGGTTTCATCAATTATTCTGGTAGCGACATTTCTTTGTGAATTACTCTAATCTATCACCCACTTTTTTATGTCATCCTTAGTCCAATGCTGAGCTAGGAGACAAAGATTATCTTTATCCTTATTAGTTGATCTTTTTGCTGTCATCAGACATGAACGATTTTTTGTTAATAGGTGGTAGATTGCAAACCTTTATTGCTTCTCTGTTCCCATATCCTTTAGCAAGTTTATTATTTGTAACAAATCCTGTATCTTAATCTTTTACCCCTTGAAGCCATAGTCCAAAGGAAACAGTTCTGTAAACTTAACCGGGACAGTCGTTGTCTTATGTACGCATTCGTCACATATATATATACGTCCCTTTATTGGCTATACTTTTTCGCCGCTTCGTATGACGGATATATTTCTTTGCGGCATAATTGTTATGTATCCTAGGTTAGTGTTTTACCATTTCAGTTATTTTCAACCAATTATGCCTCTATTTTATAATGTCCAGATGGTTAACGATGGGAGTATATTGAGAAACATTTAGGTAAGATTAATCAGTTTTGTTATAATACCAATAATAATATGTAAAATGTGTGCTATCTTAGTTTTATTTCTGCCGAAAGGAAACAGTTCTGTAAACGTAACCGGGACAGTCGTTGTCTTATGTACGCATTCGTCACATATATATATACGCCTGTCCCTTTATTGGTTATTCTTTTTCGCCGCTTCGTAAGATAGCAGTTAAAAGAAAAAATGATTATAGCGACAATAGTTCATAAAACAGAAAATTTAATGATGATAATAATAATAATAATAATAATAATAATAATAATAAGTCCAGTTGTAGTTAGAGTCCTCGGATTGATTGGAAAATATTCCGATAGAGTAAGTGAAGGGATTTCTGTTAGTCCAAGCCTTGAAAAAAATGTATTTACAAATACAACTCATGCATTACGAAGAGCTTTATCTATGTAAAATGTGTGTAAAATGTTATATATTTTTTTAGAAAAACGTTCAGTGGAAAATATGAAGCCATTTCTGAGCTTAGTTCTCTGGTTGGGAAATGTGTATACAACAGAAATCCAATAAAATAATAATAATAATAATAATAATAATAATAATAAACGCCCTGATGGTGCATCAAGCAGAGCTCTCATAGGTTCTGCTTGTCGGTGTTAACATAGCATGTTTTGCCTTGGTGAAAAACAAAAATAAATTAGTGTTTACAGTAATGTTTGATTTGAATTCTTTAAGAATCCCTGCAGCGTAGGATTTTGGGTCAAGCAACTAAAGAGGGACTAATTGGAATGGAAATCTCTTCCAGAATTTCATCAGGACTTACTGAATTGTGTTAAATACGCAAGGCACTTACTCAGTTCATTCCGTTCTTAAAGAAGGATTTGGTTGACAAGATAAGAAAGAAAAAAAATTAACGAATAAAAATGTTAGTCGATTAACACGAAGGAAATTCATGCCTGAATTCTGTCTAATCGAATTTTAATCTAATTAAGGATTTGCGTCATTTGGCGCCATTTCTTATTTGATGTTCAACAAAAACAATGTCGGTACAAAGCTGCATTCCAGAAGTAGAAATGCAGAATGAATGCGAATTAGCCATTACATTACGAGTCCTGGAATTGTCGTTTAACTAGATATTTCTTAGACGGAACCAAGTGTCAAAAAAAAAAAAAAAATATTTGCGCTACTCGGAGGATCGAATTTACGATTAACGACTTGCGAAAATAGCCCACGAGCCATAACCTCTATGCCAGAGATCACAACATACCCGCGTATTAGAAGGTATTTCCCAGATATACTTAGCAAAGCATAAGACGAAATTGGAAAAATGAGATAATTGTGTTCCGTTAATCTTTCACTTATAAGACAGAATATATGACTTAACTTGAGAGGCAGACCAAGATGCGAGCTACGAATGAAAGACATTAAAATAAAGCAAGTGAATCTTATAACAAACGATGAAAAATGTGGCACGGAAATGTTTTATTTGTTGTTTTTTGTTTGTTTAACAGCACATCAACTCTTTTCTAGGTTATTTATACCGAAATTTAATTTTCTGATCACAATTTTATGGCATCAACTGTTTATTTTTTGAACGCAATTGTATGCCTTCAACTACAGATAAAATGACGAAGAATAGTTCGTCATTTTGCTATAAAATGTATTGCAACTCTACTATAAAATGTATTACTGGTAATTTTGTTTTAAAAATATATTGCTGCCAATTTTACTATAAAATTGTATTGTCGGCAATGTTACTATAAAACTGTATTGTTCGTAATTTCTTAGATAAAAATGTATTGCTTGTATTTTCGTACTTTCATAGTGTTTTCTTTTTGTTTAGGTGTTCATTATTTGCCCATAGCTAGGACCCTAACAGGTGCTACCACGCCGGGTCAGAGTGAACCTGGGAACAACAGCAATTAAGAGGTGGTCCCACGCCCCTCAAGACTTCCAATCTCTCAACGAAGTTACATACCCAGGGCTGGCACAGAAATCCGAAGGCGCACCAGAATAACGAAAAGACGCCTTCGAAAACCTAAGGAAAATATTAAGAAACTGGAAAATTTCGTTAGAACGAAGGAAAAAAAGATGCTGAATGACTATGTAATAAAAATTCTCCGATATGGCAGTGATTGCTAGAAAAATCTTCTCACAGAAGAAGAGAAAATTTGATGTGGTTCTACAGAAGGATGCTGGGAATACCATGGACGGAACATGTGAGCAACGAGGAAGTTTTAAGGAAAATGGAAACAATATTGGCGCTGGTGCTTAGAATCAGAAAGATGTAGTTGAAATTTATGGAACATATTGAGGAAAGAAGTGTTGGAGAATTTGACACTCAAAGGATATATTGAAAGTAAAAATCTTGACCTGGTATCTCGACTACTCATTTTCTTACCGCCATGACACAACTTCCCTCTGCCTTTTTTACAAATATTTTCATGGCAATTGTTTTGATCAGCTTTCCTCATTGCATAGATTTAAGCGTGCTACTAAATTGGCGACTAGGTCTCACCATTTTACTGTTGTGCAACCGTATGTTCTATTCTAATAGTTCCTTGTCTCATTCTTCCCACCTGTTGAACTCCTTTCCACTTTCTTTCTTCCCTGTCACCTACAATCTTCAAAAATTTAAATGCAATGCCAATCGCTATTTCTTTTTCTGAAACCTGTTCTTTTATTGTCCTTTTTCCTCATTAAAGTCATCTCATTCTTTTTTTTACTCTCAGTGACCTCTTGCATCTTAGTAGCATTATCGCCTTGCTTAGAGTGAAATGATAAAGGAAAATAGCAGATGGAATCATTGAATAACCCACCTAACGAGCAAACGGATGGCAGAACAGAGGCTGAGAAGAATAGAAAGGAGCAAAAATTGGAGCTACAAAGGATAGGAAGTTGTGGAGAGTCATGATTTCTCATATATTGAAGAGACAGCGCATTAAAGGAAATATTTTCCATGTGGAGAGGGCTTCTCTTGAAAATCAGATTTCGAGTTCCTGGCTTTTAACTGGGCTCGAATACCGAACTTTAGCACCGCTGGGGAACGAATAACTATTTCTACCACAAAGTAGGCGATATTAAAACTTACTTTGATAGGCAACTAATGTAGGAGAAGGACATAATTTTAATTACGTTTGTATTCTGATGGGCTACAATGAAAATCAATTTGCCTTACAGCTGAATCAAGTTCCTGAGGCCAACCGTTTATTTTTAAACATGGTAATCATCATTGAGTGGAACTGATAAGCGAATTGTCAAACAAGAATTCTGATTTCTTCGAAAATCACTCTCAGAATTCTGATAAGGATATTTTAAACATGAGACCAATAATACGAACAATTTATTGCACAGCTTCTTTAACAAGATAATGTCATTAATCCCAAATAGAATTCACTAAATAAAATAATCCCTGTTTGTTTTTCTGACAAAGACAGGCCGTTTTGGAATGAAAATAAAATGAATTAAATTTAGTAAAATGCTGAGGAGTTTAGGGTTTTAAAATACGTCTATTGCATTACAATTAAATGATTTTAGTCGGATGACGTCATGGCAAGTCTGCAGATAACAAACGAGGAATGGTACTAGAATTTGAAGTCGATCATAATTATCCAAATCGCAATAGAGATTCACCTCAACTCGCTTTACAATATGCGAATGAAGTCCAACGCCATTTCTCCTGCGTTGGGCGTGAACACAAAGACGGTCACAATTTAATCGTCTGCAGATGACATTTCGAGCGAAGACAGAATTTTCTTTTGTTATTCTTAATAATTAACAAGTCGACTCAATTTCGACGAGAAGAATTTTCGTATCAGAAGAGGGAGAATATAGGGAGATATTCGCTTGGAAAATGTCTCTATCAGAAAACACACAGTTTAGAAATAGTCGTAATGGAAAATTCTAGTCAGAAATATTTAGCTTTCGTTTCTTTAATATTCAAGGTTCTTTTTCTTTTGCAGTTTTTTTTATGTTTCACATTTTTTTGTTTCTTTCAAAATTCTCTTAGGTTTTGTCTTCCCTCCCCATTAAACATATTTTTCTTTTTTTCTTTCCTCTTTTCTCTTTTGTTTCTCGTTTTCTTTTCTCTTTTTTTCTTTTATCTTTTGTTTCTCGTTTTCTTTTTTCTCTTTTAATTTTTTCTTTTGTTTCTATTTTTCTTTTTTTCTCTTTTAATTTTCTCTTTTGTCTGCCTTTTTCTTTTCTTTTCTTTTTTGTTTCTCTTTTTCTTTTCTTTCTTTTTCTTTTCTTTTTTGTTTCTCTTTTCCTTTTCTTTTCTCTTTTGTTTCTCTTTTTCTTTTTTTCTTTTCTCTTTTTTCCTTTTCTTTTTTTCTTTTCTTTTCTTTTTTTTCTCTTTTTTTTTCTTTTCTTTTTTCTTTTCTTTCTTTTTCTTTTCTCTTTTTGTTTTCTCTTTTGTTTCTCTTTTCCTTTTCTTTTCTCTTTTGTTTCTCTTTTTCTTTTCTTTCTTTTTCTTTTCTCTTTTGTTTCTCTTTTCCTTTTCTTTTCTCTTTTGTTTCTCTTTTTCTTTTCTTTCTTTTTCTTTTCTCTTTTTCTTTTATCTTTTTCTTTTCTTTCTTTTTCTTTTCTCTTTTTGTTTTCTCTTTTGTTTCTCTTTTCCTTTTCTTTTTCTTTTTTCTCTTTTGTTTCTCTTTTCCTTTTCTTTTCTCTTTTGTTTCTCTTTTTCTTTTCTTTCTTTTTCTTTTCTCTTTTTCTTTTTCTTTTCTCTTTTTCTTTTCTCTTTTGTTTCTCTTTTCCTATATTTTCCATTTCTTAATTACAAGGACTTTACTGTTTCCACACATAATTAAATAGAAATTGTTTCTCATTCTCCAACGAATGTTCGTTATCCCCAAAATTTGTCGGTCCTACTTTCAAGATGATACCAAATATATTTTATTATTAGTCGAACCAATGTGATCAATCGGATAACTCAAGGGCAATCGATGAACGTGTTTAAGGAATTCAAAGACGTAATGACCTTTGCTTTCATGAAGATATGAAAAGACATATTAATATTAATTATGCTTCACTTTGAATAATCTCTTGTTTTAATTTTAACCTGATATATATTTGAATAATGATTTGACACCACGGAATAAATATACTGACTTAAAAAGAACTGTAGACATTTTTCCCTTAAGAATCCTTGCGACTAACACTTCTTCAAAAGTATTCGTTGGTGTAATTTAAGACGAGACCTAAGACGATATTCACGAAAATTAAATAATAGAAGAGGGGAAACTTTATTTCAGAACACGACTAAAACAAGTTTTTCTACTGTGAAGTTACGTGTTATATATATATATATATATATATATATATATATATATATATATATATATATATATATATGCACATTTCATTGAATATGACAGACAATGTGCTTTTATTTAGTTTTTTTTTTATACAATTTCTCATACGATCTAATAATTTTTTTCTTTTCAGATGATAAATTATATAAAAACTGTCCGAATATTCTTTTTATCCGAGCGCTTTTGGCTATACATTTAGCCATTTCAAAGATCAAATATTTTAACTGTTAAATAAGAAATAGTTTGTTGCATATATGTTTTATAAAATGTTTTCATTTTTCAAAACACGGTCAAGATCTTGAAAGAAAGACAATTAATTGTAAGAAGTCTATTTAGTTGTCAGAAAAAGGGACCGGCTTACGTGTGATCTATTTATTGGTGACGTCTAAGTCAAGCAAGTGCAGACGTTTAAGTATCGGGGTAATGTAGTAATAGACAACAAAAAATGTGGTACAGAAATCAGAAGGTGCATAGAAATAGGCAAAGATGTCTTCCAGAAATTAAGCAAAATATTAAGAGACAGTAATACATCCTTAGAAATAAAGGATAAAGTGCTTAACATGTAATAATTTAATATATAATTTCCTATATTGAAATCAACTTGGACAATCTCTTCACAGGTACACACGAGATTTGAAGCAAGAGCGATATGGTTCAAGAGAAGGGTACTGAGAATACCATGGAATGGACATATGAGCAATGAGGATGTTTTACGGAAGATAGGAACTAAAAAGAAACTTATATTTACAATCAGATGATATTTCTGGTATCCATAATGGGAGCCATAATGAGAAAAGAAGACTTCTTAAAACTCACATGACATATGGAAGAGAAAAAAGGGGGAAACAGTGATTAGTTTCTTTTTTATTCTTTCACTCCAAGTGAAAGTGAAAAAAAAGAAAAGACAATAAAAAAAACAGGATTCAAGGAGACAGATGACGACGATTGACATTGCATTTAAATGCTTGAAGATCATAGTTGATAGAAAAATAGAGTTTTACAAGCGAGAAGTGCGGGAAAAAGAAGCTATTAGGAAATAACTTACGGCTAAAATTAACAATTTCAATAGTTAAATGAAGAAACCTAACTGCCAGTCTAGTACTGCGGTTAAATTTGTGAAGCCGATGTGCCAAAGCGGAAAAGAAAATTGAAAATATTTATCTGAAAATATGTATGGAAACGGCGCAGTAAAGCTACGTTACAGTGAAATTAACCGAAGCAGAGATGACAGGTCATGACCGATAACTTTGCTGATTTTACTTTGGATTTTTTTTAAGAATCTCTAGATATATAGAAGAAGACTAGATGTGGCAGCAATATTCGATGCACGGGTGAATGGTAGACATTTAAATAGGCATGATAGATTCTGTCGAGAAAAATACATGACAGACTAAAGCGTCTTTCAAGCGTTTGTGGATGGTAGAGCAGGCACAAAGAGAGACGGTAAAATGCCAACAGCTATTTAGAGAAAGCTAAAAGTTACTTTGAGGAAGTTGTGGAGAGCTTACTTATATCCAAAAAGGATTTGGCATAGACAGGAAAAAGACAGTACAAAAGCCATGAAGTTATATGTTCTATAAAGTTTGGATATATTTGTTACGGTCAGTAATTAATCATTAATAACTTTGTTTATCTTGGGGAGATTTTGTATCGATCATTATAATAATTAAAAATGGTATCCAATCGAAGATGGACATTGCAACAAACGAAAGATTTATAAAAGATCATAAAAGTAAACTAATTTTGCAGCAAAATATTTTCTTTCGGATAGTTTATATAAATTTTTAATGAAATAAATTCCAATTAAATTTGTAGACGTCAATTAATTATTTCTGTATCTTAAAAGAATATTACTTTTGTAATCCTAAGTTACAAACGTACAGAATAGACTTTTCACTGAAATTTGTCTATATATATATATATATATATATATATATAGATCATTTTGAGCGTCCAAATGATTCTGTTTGTTCGTTGTCTGATGTCTCTACCTTCAGCAATTTTGAATTCTTGAAAAAAAAAAAAAAAACTTCTTCCGCGACTCCATAAAAATAGTATTTACTCAAAGGAAATTATTATTATTGTTATTATTATTATTATTATTATTATTATTATTATTATCATCACAGCCAAATGTGCGTGATATAGTGAGAGGTTTTGATAAAATCAGCACATAACCTTGCAAGGGGGTCCGAGTTAGAACAACCTTTAGGTCGGGTAACCTTGTCATTCGAGATGGTCTTTGATTGAGAGTGTTCTAGCTGTGACTCCCAAGTCACCTTGGCTGCCTTGTTCTATAAACTTAAAAATCAATTTTCTCGACACTCAGCCATGATGCTCCCACACTACACTCGTTCACGAACAGAAATACACAATTACTACTACTACTATTATTATTATTATTATTATTATTTCTGAAAGCGATCAGATGCAGTTGGTAGCGACATGAAAAAAAGAAAGAATTACGAAACCAAGTTCAAAATTCTGTCTTTTCTGATTTCTTTCTAAGGCAGAACAAAAACAAAATCTGCCATTCCTCTTTGTTCTTGTTGAGATTTGTTTTGACACCAGCAGACACAAGAATGGGTGGTTGGATGAGGAACAAACACAGTGTACTTTCTCTCACTCTGTGTTGCTTGCAGAGACGACCGAGGCTAATGGCGGCAACAGGCATTGTTCAATGATGGACTCTTCTGTAATATGTTTAAATAATTCATAATCTATCTGGTTAACGATAAATTATCTTATTTTCTCTGCGAAATGATCCAATGGCAAATGTACTCTTCAAGAAAAAAATGATAGGATAACAATAACAAGGAGTTAAGAATAATGAAGATAATAATACGAACAGCAAGGTGAAAATGATGAGAATATCAATAGAAATAAGAATGATAAAAATTGAACGGTGATAATAAGAATATAAATAATACGAATAATAATGAGAATAAAAATAACATTAAAAATGACAATGCTAAGATGGTGAAAATAAGAACAGGATTAAGAATAGGATAATAATAAAAACGAAGATAATAAGAATGAGAATAGCAAGCTAAAAAATGATAAGAATAGGAATAAGAATACGATTAGAAAGATGATAATATGAACGGGAATAATAACGTAAAAATTATGAACATAAGAAGAGGAGGAGGAGGAGGAAGAAGAAAAAGACAAAGAAGAAGAAGAAGATAGCATAAGATAATAAAAATTGGAATACTAAGACAAGATTGAGAAGAATAAGAATAGGAATAAGAAATAGATGAGAAGGAAGAGAATATGAATATTAATAATAATAATGTGAACATCCATCGGCCGTCGTCGAAGCTTTCCAATGATTACCCCAAGTTGCATTCCAGTTCTCGGTGTGGGCAGTGTACACCGGAAGCTGTGGAAAGGCGTGCCAAATACTCACAAGGTAGCAAGATGAAAGACAAACGCTACGTCGAGAATTTAGAAATCGAACCCTGTCTCCCATGTAGGAGTTTTATTCAAGACTTCGCCTGATCGACCAAATGGATGGGTAGGTGATACTTGGGACAACTTCTACTATGTCAGCTTCCACCTTCCCTTCTTACCAACGCTACGCCCATCTACTCATCCCGACGTGGGGGGGGGATAGCAATACGAAATAGAGGCTTCAGAACCGCTCGACGAACACGATCGTCTTCCACTCAGGGCGAACGAGAATTCTCCTCGATCTCTAGCATGGCAATATAGACCAGAACCCGGATATATACCCTTATTTTTCTGTTTTGTTGCCATTTGATCTCCGAAAATCGCTTTACTTCCGATTTCCCTTAGGTTAAAATGTTGCCGCTTAGATGACTGAACTACAAATCTGCCGGTCTATCAAACAGAAACACATGAGAACGAGATGAAACCACCTCTTCTCTTTCTACGTGGGTGTCCATGGTATCACAATACGATAGTGAAATGACTAAAGTAAGAACGTTGATCGAGGAATATTAATACAAAAGTAGGAGAATCAAAATAGCAATAATAAGATAAGAATGATGAAAAAGAGTAGAGAATAAAAATTAGAAAGATAAAATAAGAAGATGAAAAAGGAATGAGAATACGAATCATTAGAAAATAATTAGGATAATATGAAAGAACGACTGTAAGAACAGGAAGAAGAAGAAGAACGACAATAAGAAAGAATATTTAAATAATGAACAATAGTAACAACACAGATCGTTAACGCCTAACAAAACACGTAGTCCAGCAAATTATCGGCGATTAAAGGCAAACAGATTTTTGCAAAGTGCTCAATATTTTAAAAAAAGAGAACAAAAATGGTCAATAGCTAAAGAAGTTCAAAATACATCTTTTTTCACACCAAGCAAGGCGATAATGCCACTAAGACACAAGGGACTACTGGAAGTGAAAGGCAATGAAAAGACGTTACAAGGAACCGGAAACCCAATCTTAAACGGGAAACTAGGGATAAACCCCTACTCCTGTT